TAGTTCAATTTGACACAAACTTTAATTTTACTCAATTTGGTCCCAAATTTCAACTTTCTTATTACACTTTAGTCCCTAAACTTTTTAAAGAGTTTTAATTAAGTCTTTTGTTTTAATTTCAACATGTTTAATTTTATGCATTTCAATCCTTTTTTGGCACAAATAATAAAAATTATTCAATTTTTAATAAAATTACATTTATTACTTCTTCAAAAATCAAAAAATTAAGTTTGAATAGTAAATTAAAATATGTAAAATTCATATCATGAAAGTTTGCAACTAAAAATAGTTTTAATATCTAATTTGAAATTTTGTAAAGTGTTATAACCAAAGTGGCAAAATTGTAAAGGATATTGATGTAAGTTGTGGGTGTGATGTCAATATAGTCGTGTAAACATCATGGACTAATGATAACTTTGGATGATATTTTTATAACTATTAATGTATAACAATAAAAAGAAGGCAAGAAACTCTTATTTACTCTTTTTTTATCACAATATTGTTTTTTTTTTTTTAATGTAAGTTATGTATTTTCAACTAACTAATGGTCCTTATTTTTCATGATCTCATGTTGGGAATTAATATGTGATTTTACACTTTAATTAGATGAATTTTATATATTTTAATTTACTTATTTAGCCTTAATTTAATTAATATTTTGGATGAGTTAAGAGTGATTTTATTGAAGTTTATGTGATTTTTATTATTTCTATAAAAAGAGACTAATGATGAAACTATAAATTTTGGGACTTAAGTGAAATTCTGTTACTAAAAGGTAAGGAACCAGCAATGTTTTTTTTACTGGCTTAATTCAAAAATTAGTTTATTAACTATCAACTTGATTTCATTTTAGTCTAGAAAGTACGTTTTATTTCTAAGTGGTTTATAAGCTTTGGAAAATACTTAAAAATGGTCCACTGTACAAGATTTCCGTTAGTTTTAAAGGAAGAATAAACTTAGAATTAAAATAAAATAGTCCTTTAAGTTTTAAAAAAATGACACTATAATCTCAATAAAATATAATGAATCAAGAAATACCCTATAAAGATAGATTAGTTAAAATTTATGACGAAATTGAGTAACTAGCTCAATTTGAAGAGAGAAACCTAGCGAACTTAGAAAGAAAAGCTCTAGAAGTATGTATTGAAAATACAATGAGAGTTAGAACTCTTAATTACAAAATTAGAACAAAAAGAGAAAGAATAAATACATTAAGAAATATTATTAATACAATTCTATCAGCATGA